CAGGATCCATCTAATGGCATGTATGTACATTCATTTTGGGGAAACTAGCCTAATAAAAAAAATTAATATTTTCCTCCAAAATGCTGAACCACCCCGGCCCTTACCATTTCGGCCCGAAAGGTGTGATAATTCAAATTTTTACAATATTTGCCCCTACACCCCTTTCAAAGGGATATGGGGGTCAGGATCCATCTAATGGCATGTATGTACATTCATTGTGAGGAAACTAGCCTATTCAAAAAATATAATTTTTTCCTCCAATATGCTGAACCACCCCGGCCCTTACCATTTCGGCCCGAAAGTTGTGATAACTCAAATTTTTACAATATTTGCCCCTACACCCCTTACAAAGGGATATGGGGGTCAGGATCCATCTAGTGGCATGTATGTACATTCATTGTGGGGAAACTAGCCTAATAAAAAAAAATAATATTTTCCTCCAAAATGCTGAACCACCCCGGCCCTTACAACTTCGGCCCGAAAAGTTGTGATAATTCAAATTTTTCAATATTTGCCACTACGCCCCTTACAAAGGGATATGGGGGTCAGGATCCATCTAATGGCATGTATATACATTCATTGTGGGGAAACTAGCCTATTAAAAAAATATAATATTTTCCTCCAAAATGCTGAACCACCCCGGCCCTTACCATTTCGGCCCAAAAGGTGTGATAATTCAAATTTTTACAATATTTGCCCCTACCCCCCTGTCAAAGGGGTATGGGGGTCAGGATCCATCTAATGGCATGTATATACATTCATTGTGGGGAAACTAGCCAATTTAAAAAAATAATATTTTCATCCAAAATGCTGAACCACCCCGGCCCTTACCATTTCGGCCCGAAAGTTGTGATAACTCAAATTTTTCAATATTTGCCTCTACGCCCCTTTCAAAGGGATATGGGGTTCAGGATCCATCTAATGGCATGTATGTACATTCATTTTGGGGAAACTAGCCTAATAAAAAAAATTAATATTTTCCTCCAAAATGCTGAACCACCCCGGCCCTTACCATTTCGGCCCGAAAGGTGTGATAATTCAAATTTTTACAATATTTGCCCCTACACCCCTTTCAAAGGGATATGGGGGTCAGGATCCATCTAATGGCATGTATGTACATTCATTGTGAGGAAACTAGCCTATTCAAAAAATATAATTTTTTCCTCCAATATGCTGAACCACCCCGGCCGTTACCATTTCGGCCCGAAAGTTGTGATAACTCAAATTTTTACAATATTTGCCCCTACACCCCTTACAAAGGGATATGGGGGTCAGGATCCATCTAGTGGCATGTATGTACATTCATTGTGGGGAAACTAGCCTAATAAAAAAAATAATATTTTCCTCCAAAATGCTGAACCACCCCGGCCCTTACAACTTCGGCCCGAAAAGTTGTAATAATTCAAATTTTTCAATATTTGCCACTACGCCCCTTACAAAGGGATATGGGGGTCAGGATCCATCTAATGGCATGTATATACATTCATTGTGGGGAAACTAGCCTATTAAAAAAATATAATATTTTCCTCCAAAATGCTGAACCACCCCGGCCCTTACCATTTCGGCCCAAAAGGTGTGATAATTCAAATTTTTACAATATTTGCCCCTACCCCCCTGTCAAAGGGGTATGGGGGTCAGGATCCATCTAATGGCATGTATATACATTCATTGTGGGGAAACTAGCCAATTTAAAAAAATAATATTTTCCTCCAAAATGCTGAACCACCCCGGCCCTTACCATTTCGGCCCGAAAGTTGTGATAACTCAAATTTTTCAATATTTGCCTCTACGCCCCTTTCAAAGGGATATGGGGTTCAGGATCCATCTAATGGCATGTATGTACATTCATTTTGGGGAAACTAGCCTAATAAAAAAAATTAATATTTTCCTCCAAAATGCTGAACCACCCCGGCCCTTACCATTTCGGCCCGAAAGGTGTGATAATTCAAATTTTTACAATATTTGCCCCTACACCCCTTTCAAAGGGATATGGGGGTCAGGATCCATCTAATGGCATGTATGTACATTCATTGTGAGGAAACTAGCCTATTCAAAAAATATAATATTTTCCTCCAAAATGCTGAACCACCCCGGCCGTTACAATTTCAGCCCGAAAGTTGTGATAATTCAAATTTTTACAATATTTGCCCCTTCGCCCCTTTCAAAGGGATAAAGGGTTCAGCATCCATCTAATCGCATGTATGTACATTCATTATGGGGAAACTAGCCAATTTAAAAAAAATAATATTTTCCTCCAAAATGCTGAACCACCCCGGCCCTTACCATTTCGGCCCGAAAGTTGTGATAACTCAAATTTTTCAATATTTGCCTCTACGCTCCTTTCAAAGGGATATGGGGGTCAGGATCCATCTAATGGCATGTATATACATTCATTGTGGGAAACTAGCCTAATAAAAAATTTTATATTTTCCTCCAAAATGCTGAACCACCCCGGCCCTTACCATTTCGGCCCGAAAGTTGTGATAACTCAAATTTTTGAATATTTACCACTACGCCCCTTTCAAAGAGATATAGGGTTCAGGATCCATCTAATCGCATGTATGTACATTAATTATGGGGAAACTAGCCAATTTAAAAAAATAATATTTTCCTCCAAAATGCTGAACCACCCCTGCCCTTACAATCTCGGCCCGAAAAGTTGTGATAATTCAAATTTTTCAATATTTACCACTACGCCTCTTTCAAAGGGATATGGGGGTCAGGATCCATCTAATGGCATGTATATACATTCATTGTGGGGAAACTAGCCTATTAAAAAATATAATATTTTCCTCCAAAATGCTGAACCACCCCGCCCTTACCATTTCGGCCCGAAAGTTGTGATAACTCAAATTTTTAAAATATTTGCCCCTACACCCCTTTCAAAGGGATATGGGGTTCAGGATCCATCTAATGAGATAGGAGACTGCAAACTTGGGAACAAGATCAATCGCAACTCTTCATAAGACAATGCCCAGCTGTTATTATTTTGAACACAAGTGAAGACCACTCATGGGAGAAATTCACTGCTTCTCTACTCCAAAATGAACACCAAAATCAATGGAAGCAGGATTTAATTTACATTTTCCAGTTTACCAATCTACTACAAATGTGGAGTTTTAAGTTGAAAAATGAAAATCTATATCATAATTTTACCCTCATGCATAATCTACCTGATACAAACAAAACCTAATCAAGCCAATTCTACACATATATACGTTTACAAGGTTATTTTCAATAAACTTCTACATATAAGGACGCTATCTGGTTTCATGTCCAAAATTAAGCTCTGAATAAGGACATCGCCTCTTCTTCAATCTTAAGTGTAGCATAGGATAAGAGTCCTAAAAATACATAAAAAGATTTCTTTTTAATGGCCGTTTTAAATGGAAAATGTAAAACTCGCATGAATCTTAGTCATTCACAGCAAAATCTAAGTTCATAAGATTACAAAGTTAGGAAAGACAGTTTTGTAACATTACTTACCACAGGTAAGGTAAGGTTTTTGATTTTGCCTAAAAGTTGCAAACTCTGAAGCTAGTTTTCAAACTAAAAGTAACACCATTCTATCTCAGCTAATAGTACTTCACCAGACATAAAAAAACATGACTCTATGTTTAAACAGGCCAATACACCTCTTCACACTATCAAAGGCAGCTTCATGGGGTGTGGCATCTTATCTCTCCTGCCCAATACAGATTCTACATATGAAAGTCTATGACAGGTGTAATGGCATACCACAGTCCTTTCACTGGCAGGCATCAACCCATCCACATACTACAAAGACCGATTTAATACATACATTCCTAACTGGAACACTGTATAAATTTGAATACTATTAATCACTAAACCATGAATGAATGACACTGGTTTCTGTGTCATTAACACATGAATGTGGTGAATTACAGCAAGGCAGTCACATTGCTTTACTGCCAATCATTAGTGAGCTAACAAGACACAGTGGTATGTACCCCCAGCTCAACACATGCTCTGAAAAGAATTGCATTCTTTCATACAATACCTCCACATTACCTTTCTCTTCCTTGTGATGCTACAGCACATCTGACATAGCTAATCCTTTGTTGGTATCGTATGATCTATTGTAAACAGATGGCCAGCTCTGTTGTTAGCTAACATTGACATTACCACTTCGGCCAACTTAAAGTTCCCATACATATAGTGATTACAACTTTTAAAAAATTCATTACTTTCTTATATTTAGTAAGATTTAATTGAAACTTACATCTGTTTACTTCTCTGATTTTTCTGCTTTCTTTCAGAGAAGTTGTCTATTTGTGCAAGATTTCCCTTTAAGGGGGATGCTTCTTCCCCTATTTCACACAGTTAAACTACTAATTCACCTGTTAAACAAGGGAATGCCAAAGCACTTGTTGCTTGCAATCATTAGGGCAGCATTCTGATTTCAATCAATGTGAGGGCACTTACGGGGGTGCAGCCCCTGATATTCCTTCTGGGCCAGGTACCCCATCTGAACAACTTAAATCCCCTTAACCAGAGATTGATTGACGATTGAGGGTCATTGACGGTCAAGCTTAGTTGAAATCAAGTTGCTGCTTTAAAAGGTAGCCGCTCCAGAAGTCTCCATCCGCTGTAAATGATTTCTATCATGTTTGGCTTGAGAACCTAGCCATATATTCACACATGTATACAAATAAGCTGAAAATGTATACATTTTCCTGATGGAGCACTTTTTAGGGGCTTCCCCTATGCCTCGTGAGGGCAAAATGACCTATCTGATGAAGTTGAGGTCGGCTTCCCCTAAGAATGATCCTACCAAGTATGATTAAAATCTAGCAATAACTTTTTCAAGAATAATTGAACCCTCATTTTACATAGTCAAACCTGTCTATAGCGACCGCCAAAGGGAAACACAAAAAGCGGCCTTTGTAGACAGGTGGTCTTTGTAGATAGGTTCTTAAGGTACATGATTCAATGAGAAACCATTTTCAAGGGAACAACAAATGTGGCCTTTGTAGACAGGTGGTCTTTTTAAAAGGTGGTCACTGAAGCAGGTTTGACTGTATTTCATCATATTTACATAAACGGTATACACCTATCTAAATCATTAACAAAACAACAATGACTTATAAACATTCCAAATTCTCCAATTACCTCTTTTTGAAGAACCGCTGAATGTTGGACTGCTGAACATGTCAGTGTGGACTTGAGGGAAGGAGAAGTAGAAAAAGAATGGGTCATCCTGATGATCAAAGATGAATGATGTAGCATCTTCTACCAGCCTCTGTGTCAGGTTCCTATGGCTGAGTGGTTGCTGGATGATGGTGTCGTTGTAGTAGAGGAGGCAGTAATACCTATCAGGTGCATCAATGTAAGTCTAGTTTGCGGGGCAGGAGAGAGAGAGAAAAAGGGAGGGAGAGAGAGGGAGGGAGGGAGGGAGAGAGGGAGGGAGGATTTAGCATCTTCTATTGGTGGTCTCTGCATAACATTTTTGTGGCAATGTGGTTGCTAGATTAAAGTATCATTGTAGTAAATTGGGCAATAATATCTCAGGAGTATCAATTTAAGTCTAGTTTCATGAGGTGGAGAGAGAGAGAGAGAGAGAGAGACTGTCTTCACTAAAGAATAATTCTTAAGATTGTGACAACAAATATGGTTTAAATTTTGCACAATAATGATTATTATTATGCAAATTTTCAAAACAATTATTAAATTTGTATTTTTCTTGTATACTGGTAACATTTTTTTTTTTTACTGAAAGTGAATCCAATTTTTGTAATGTCAAGGTATTGGTGAAAGCATATTTTGTCATTTAGTGTATTGTTTCTAAACAGGTGCATTTATTTCCCCGCTACTCATGATACATGTTGGTCCCACATCTGTCATTTCATTGTGGTTAATGCAAACTGACCTTGGTTTCATCACACATCCAATGATTAGTGAAAGGTAGTAGATGACCTACAAAGTCAAAACCATGATGATGAGGTAGATGATTACCATCATTGTGGGAGAACTCATTGATACCTGCACAGGAACAAATCAATCATGATACAATAATCTGATAAAGGGTAACGTTTTGACTCATTTCTAACCCTGCACAAGGTGTGCACTGAAACCATGGACATCACCAGAGAATGTGACATTGAGCTAACTCTTCACTAAGACAAACTTTGCATTGCTTTTAGATAGGGTCTCTCAAGGTTAAGTGCCACAAGCACATCAGCCATGAATTTTATGTTTTGTAGAATATCACCTTTATAGGAGCCATATTACATATTCCTATCAAATAATCTTGAATGTGGGCATTTTAAAAGGTGTCATTCAGGTAAATGCCTGAAATCAATTTAGTCCTCTTGGGTCTGATATATGTGAACAGAACTTGGGATTTGGGAAAGATGACCACAAAACTGAGCCTCTTTTTCTCAATCAAACATCCATTCAATGTATGATGAAACTATGCTCAGGATACATGACATTACTCAAATATTAAGGGAGAACTTACTAAATGCAAAAATAAATTATTGAGATGCACAACATTTGTTTTAGAAAGCTTTGGGTTAAAAAGAAACTTTTGAAGCTCTAACATACCTTGATGCCACTTGCCGACCATGCCAGTGTGATAACCCTGTTCCTTGAGCATTTCAGCAATAGTTGTTTCTGATTTGGGAAGGCCATAGCTAGTGGACATCTCAAACACCCTGGCTGGTCCATACAATCCCACACGCACTGGTAAGCGACCTGAACAGATCAAATACAATGGATGTTATTCGTACGCAGTGTTAACTTAAATCCATGTACCGGTATGTTTAGATCCTAAGAAGGTAGACTTGGTCCCCTGACTTATGGAGAGTAAAATGTCTACCTCGTCATTCTGTTTAAATTAGCGTAATTGATGAAATTGTTATGCTTTTACTAGGAATAGGTTTCTCAGTTTCATTCAATGTTTAAACTCTTATTTATTTATTCTATATGGAATAAAGAGGTTGATAATTGGCACTCTATAAATCAGCCAGGTCTGTTATTAATTTATTTTATTTTATTAATGACGACAATTCATTAACTGGGTTATTTATTGAAATATGACTTGCTTTACTATCAAACACATTCATGTTGTCTCAATGAAGACCTAGACAGTGGAATAATATATGGGAAAATGAAAATATATATTAAACATATGAAGAAAGCATTACACATATATGAGAATTGGAGCAGAAACCTCTATTTACAATCTTTCTATCTTGCACAGGACAAGTATTGTACAATGTTCAATTATTGAATGAGAATAAATTAAAAATCTAAGGAAATCTATCAAAATGAAGAATTTTTAAAGGAAGAATCCTTTACAATACCGTACATGAAATCCATAAAGGCTGTTTAACAAAAAACAACAAATTATATCTCAACAATAAGACATATTGAGAGTTACATATAATCAAGAGATAGCAGATGGTGAAGAAGAACGAATCAGCAACTTTGAAAGGATGATGAAATGAAGGAGAAGAGCACCAAGAAAAAAAGAAGATAGTCACCTGTAAGCATAGCACCTCTGCTTGGACTACATAATACATCAGGGCTGTACCATCGACTGAACTTCATGCCTTCACGGGCCATCTGATCAATCGGACCAGATTCCTGACTAGGGTGACCATATGATTCAAGATCTCCATATCTGTAGAGAAAAAAACACAATTTAGTATGCACATTAGCAATTTGAACATATTTCATACTTATTTCTAATACAGTATTTTGAGGGTAGTGTCATCTATTTCAAGCCCAAAGAAGAGGTTTAAAGAGCCTTTTCTGATTTTTTTGTAAGTGAACCAATAAATAGTTTCCAGATACTTGAAGGATTCTCACTGCTTTTGAGATTCTACTGAGTAAGATCTTTCACAAACAGCATTTTATTAGAAATGGTTTCATGAACTCAGAAAAGAGCCTTAGATTTAATATTGTAAAATTTAACAATTTCTAGATATCGGATAATGTTATACTGTTGGTGTTGGGTCTGGGAATATATGTCTGGGACTCTGGGTCACTTTTTCTGTACTTTTTAAGACATCTTGGACTAAATTGCCTCTAAATAGGATTTCTTAGTTTTTTTTCTGTTTTCTGAGATGTCATTTGCATAAGAACTTGCTGTATTTCCAAATGGCTATCATCATTAGGAAAAACATGTGTAGCATATGGCCACAGATTTTACTGAATTTCTAAACATTTTAATAATATGTTCACTTTTACTATTACAGTTAATAAAAATCTATTTTTTTCATCATTTTTTTTCCATAGCAACAGTACTTTTTCAATTGACACCGGACAAATCCTTCTCACATGCACATACCCCATATCATCTGCAAGAAAGAGAAGTATATTTGGTCTATCAAGCGGCTTTCTCGCTAGGTCTGCTGTACACCACCCAGTTAATGAGATAACAGCAAGAGCAGAATACCATGATTTCAATGATGACATTTTCATCCAGTTCAGATCTGAAGGGAGAATAGAGAGAGAGAGAGAGAGTAAATAATATAAAGTGGTGTCCAGAAACCTCATACTTAAAACGAACACATGAATTTTGTAACTCAATGTAAAGGCATTTGTAGGTTAAATTGCAGATCTGCATAACATCATAAAGGGCAAGTCCACTTAAAAAATAACTTACTTTCAATAGAAGCAGAAAAATCAGACAAACCAATCAAAAAAAGTTTGAGAAAATCAGATTTCTAATAAGAAAGTTACGAACTCTTAATCACATGAAAAACTTTGAAAATCTCAAGACACAATTGGCAACTCACTCATGAGTCTGTGCCGTCATTGCCTCATTATCCACTAATTGTTTTCTTTATATTGATAATAAAAGTTTCCCATTCCCCCCCCCCCCCCAAGAATCTTATTTCTTCACACCAGCATCCAAGTTATATTGATTGAACAAATATAGAGTAATTTTTTCCCAGTTAAATCATGAAAAATGTGAAATTTGATAACTATTCAATTATATAAAAATCAATAATTATGAATACAGGGCTGTCAACTTTGGGGAACTGCTTCGAGGGAGATTTTATGCGATGTTTTTGTTTGGCTCGACAGGGAAGGGGGGGTGGGGGTGTTGAGTAAAAAAAATTAAAAAAATAAATCAAAGTACTCACTACCCTTTTTATCATCAGCATTGATTCATTAAATTGTTTATCCTAATTCATATCATTTGAAAGTATCATAGGGTCTAAAGCAGATTTTACAAAATATTGGGTGAATGTACTGCAGTACAGTGTTGCCCATCTTAACTCTTAATATACAACAAGGATAGTATACAAATGATGCATGCGCATGAGTTCATTATACGCCATGCCGAGTTGAGGCTGTGTGTATCTATCACACGAAGTCGTTAGGCCGAGTGCGATAGATACACACAGTATCAACGAGGGTGGATAGATCATATAATAAAGGAATGAAAACATGCATCATTTTTTTTAATTCAAGGAAACTCCTAGATCCTTGTTATTTGATGTAAAAAAAATTAATTCAAGATTGTTTCGTGACAGTAGATATGGCTGACAAATAAATCTCAGGTTTTAATAAGTCTCAATTTAGTGCGCACACATAAGTATAGATATAGCAGACGCACTTACCTCTGCACCCATTTACGCATAGTGCTGCGCAAGACTAGGCCCATGCACACGCAGTATTAAGCGCTATAATGTCTACGCGTACTGCGCGCACTGAAAACGAGTTCAATAGTACTGGAAAATATTGCACTCCTTTTCATGAAAACGAGTGCAATAGGCTCAGTAAATGACCAATCATTTGATTAGGATCTGGGAGTGAGTTGTATAATAATGATTATGTATAGTGTTACACGCCCACTGGCATGGCACTAGGTCTAGCAATGCATAGTCTACATCATTTCTACACACTAGTGACTAGGCCCTATAGGCCTAGACTACACAAATATCATTTTGTGGGCACATGATTAAAGATTATAAGTATGTTTCTTGCATTGATTACAGAATCAGCTCAATTTTCTCTTTATAAAGAAACAAAATTAAGAAAATGATCATTATTCCAATGTTGATGAACGATATTTACACTTATATCAAAATACTCACTGAATTACAGGCAAAAAACTGCATTGTTTACATTACTTGCTGGTGATCGAACTTTGTAAAGTTTTCGATTGTACACCCAATAGTCTGAAGGAAAAAGTTTTGTCAATAATTTTAGATAATCGAAGAAAAATATTCATATTTTATTTAAAAAAATATTTTAAACAGGTTAAATATGCTTTTAAAAAATATTAAAAACATTCAAAATTCTTCATAATGGTGAAAATTTCACCTTTTTTCCATAAAATGGTGCATTGAGATACCAAAATACTTGCATAAGACTAGCATGTGCAATCGAACTTCCTGGAAAAAGATCGATGATCATTAGATTTTGAAATGTGAGTCATTCGTTTCATCATGGCGACCAACGTGGAAGTGACCGACTCGGTGATTAGTGGCAACCATCAAACAAATTCAGTCAATATAAATGGCAAAGATATCAAGAAAGATAGGATTCCTGCAGGGCTTGTCAGGCGGCATGAGGAAAGGTTAGCGAGAGTAGAGAAGATGAAAGAGCAGCGTGAAAACGAAAAGGTGGTGCAGGAGAGTGCCGACTATTTTGCAAAGACATTCAATGCACAGAGGTCGAGCATTGAGGAGCGGTTGGCAACTGCGAATAATGTTGCGAAATCTAATCTGCGAGATTTCTTTGACGACATCACAGAAGTGGCTCAGAAATTGCAAAAATATGCAACAGACATGACCCAGTTTCTACCCTCGCATGACATTCAAAGTGCTCAAAATAATTTAACAAAGTTATTCGATAGCATCAATGAGAAGCGAGACGAGTTGTTGCCAAAGAAGAAATTTGCTTTCAAAGTGAGGAAGAGAGGAGATGGGGAAGCAAACAAGCAACAGCAGGCACAGAAGATTGGTCTGGATGTTGTAGATGCACCTCAGCCATCCAAAATCATTACAGAAAATGCTGCTGGGTTCGTAAATAGGACATCAGAGAATTTATCATTGTCTGCGGAGGAGATTTATCTGAAAGATGTTAGTCTCAGTAACCTGTCTTCATGCACGGTCAAGTTGCCTGGATCTCCAAGTGCACTTCACATCAGCAACCTCTCAGATTGCAAAATCTTCTGTGGGCCGATCCCTGGGTCGGTGTTTGCTGACAAGTGCATCGATAGCACCCTCGTCCTTGCATGTCAGCAGCTGAGGGTCCACAACTCCAAAGACGCCAAGTTCTACCTGCATGTGACGAGTCGAGCCATCATCGAGGATACCACCAGTGTTCTCTATGCTCCTTACAACTGGAACTATGATACCTTGGAGAAGGACTATGAGGAGAGTGGTCTGGACAGGAGCAAGAATGCATGGGATGACATTGATGATTTCAACTGGTTGGCTCATGATAAACACTCGCCTAATTGGGGACTGTTACCGGAAGATGAAAGAGTCCAAGAATGGGATTAAGATTTTAAATTGTATCATACTACATGTAGATGCACATATCGTAATTTGCAATATGATGATCAAAATGTTCCCAGATGTTTCATATTTAAATAGTTTCATTATTTACAGTTTTCTATTAATCTCATATACATTTATTTGATCAAAATATCAGTTTATGACATAAAATAAACGAGGAGTCTCTTTGACCCTTATTTCATTGTAAAGAGAGTTTCATAATTTATAAGTTCACTTTATATAAATATATATAGAGTCTATATATATATATATATATATTGTACCTTGTTTTATGATTCTGTTGTGTTCATTTTTGTTGTTTTGCTGTGTTCTATTTTATAAAGAAACTTTGCCTTTTCATTGGACTAGTATGAAAATTAAAAACTATCCACAAAACTGTTCTGTAAAGGTTTCCCTTTGTTGGCCGCTTTTTGTTGTTGACAATCATAATGAAGTAAACTTCAAGAGGAAAGTTTTAACTTAAAATTCTTTGTTTATTTGATATATTAGGTATGAAATATCTGAAGGTGTGAATGTCACTTTCATCAATATGTGATGATACACTACTGTCACAGTCACTGCATGTATATGTATGTACTTCTCCGATATGATTTTTTTTAAAGGATTTTTCCTTCAATAATGAATTATAAAGCTACATCTAGTGAGAGCTTGGAATGTTGCATACAAGTAAATAGATCTTGCTACCTATTCCCCCAATGCCTGTGAAAATAATATTGCCTCTAAAAATGTCATTCTTTACTGGTCGTCTTGTCTATTTCGGCATGGCATCATATATTTGCTTTTTGTTGTTTCTATTACTTCTTTAACAAAGTTATTTACTGTTTGATAAACAATCCAATACAGAGTGATTCTGAGCCTGTTTTTTTTCTTCTTCAAAATACATTTCCATGAAGAAAAAAAAATCCAAATTACATGTCCTTGTTGGTGTAAATCAGGTGATGATAAGTTGGATTAGGTACCTCTTTTCATGGAATTACTCGATATTGATCGGTAATTTTTGCGGTCCAATTTGTCATGTTTGAATTACCTCCTCCTTTTCAAGGAAAAATCTGTAACCAGTACCTGTTTCCTCATTTATTAAACACCTTCAGTGTTTCTCTTACCTGCACATGATTAACAATAAAAAAGAGTTTTGTGTTGAAAAGATAGAGAGAGAAGAAAACAATTCCCATGGATAGTGTACAGCTAATTTCATTCAACATTGTGTTAATTTATTGCAAACCCTTTGTTGTTACATTCATGTTTAGAGTCATTCTTGTATAGTAGAAGTAACATTATATATTATATATTCTGATTGCATCGCATGACTCGCTAATAAATTTAGTTTATTTTGAGTTGATGTATTATATCACACATCCGGATTTACACTGATTGTATCTATTAAATCTATAGATATTCATGTTGAAATTAAGTTTTAACAGTGGGTCCTAACATACTTAAATGTACCATTTGGCATTTTAATAAATCCAGTACTGAGAATCGTTCAATAAAAGTATTCAGTTCCAGTTCATTGTGACATGATACCCAAGTCAAGATATTACTGTGCAGTATGAATGACTGGGATGAAATCATTAAATGAATAATGATTATTCCTATACATGTAGTTCAAGATCAGTTATCACATGTTATGATTATACATTCAGGTTTGAGCCAGAGCAGATATGTGTATGAATGATAAAGATTTGAATAAATTGATGTGTAGTTGACAATATACTGAAGAATATCATGTAAACGTTTTGTAATATTTAATCTTATCTTTTGTGGTTGAGCCAAAGAAAATGGGTTTTCTAAAGAGAGAGAGAGAGAGAGATGAACACATGTTAAAGAGGATGGTACAGTACGATGATAGATGACATAAGGAGTGAAGAGCAGATGACAGAGAGAGAGAAAGAAAGAGATGGAAACGAATTATAATAGTCTGAAAGGGAGAAAGATTGGTGGGGGGGGGGGGTTGAGTGTATGTCCAGACATACACAAATACTCTGTTGCTGTTAGATTTTAGGGAAATATATATGCATACCAGAATAGCACTAGTCTCCATAAGGAGTTTTCATTTATGATAATCAACATACAATTATCGCTTAAAAGATTTATGGAAACTGGATGCAACCTTGTTCCAATTACCATAAAATTAAAGAAATAATCTACATGATCTACCCTAGATAGACCAGCCTATGGTCGTTTTAATCTGTCGCCCTTTCCTAAATGCGCGCGCGTGTATTATGCGTACTCCCCACGAATTCACCTTCCCCGAAAGGCTGTGTGTCCGTACGTGTATATGGTGTATTATATACCTCATTTTAAGATTCTTTACTAATCCTGTCTTCTGATTGGTTGAAAATGCAGTCATGTTCTTAACCATGCCCGCTAATTGAAATTCATAGTCATTTTTCCCGGCTCTACCGGTTTATATCCATTTTTCATAGCACTTTTTCCATGGCTGTGAAACGTGACGTCATTTTGCTGCGATCCCCAACCATGCCCGCTAATTGAAATTCATAGTCATTTTCCCCGGCTCTACCGGTTTATATCCATTTTTCATAGCACTTTTTCCATGGCTGTGAAACATGACGTCATTTTGCTGCGATCCCCATTTTGGTTTACGTGTTACCGTATAAGTTTCTTTTGTGCGATGAGATAGAAACCTAAATGGGTGAGTCAACATTTTCCTTTTTTCGGTATATAAAATATATATTGACTGCTTTTAATATTCAAGGCATAGTTTTTTCTATAGGGTCTCGGGAAACTCACAACCTGCTATGACCCCGCGGCGCAAGCGCCTTGGGGTCATAGCAGGTTGTGAGTTTCCCTTGACCCTATAGAAACCACTATGCCTCTCAAAGCAGTCAATATATCCTTACTATGTGAGCGAGCACGGATCATGTAGAGAACAGTCCAGGCAGTGGACTAGTAGTAGATAGATATCATAGAGATATTAAGTATATATCTCTATGATAGATATAGATCTACCCGGATATGAAGCGCCGACACAGCCTGTCTCCTGACACACAATGTGTAGGTATACCTGGAGAGAGAGAGAGAGAGAGAGAGAGAGAAAGGGGGGGGGGGGAGGGGGATTATCAGGTATCCCGTTTCCCTTTTCACCACGATGGTAGATTTTTGCCAGGGCCTGACCGAATATAAACTTTCTAGTGCTACATTTTGCGAGCTAGCGAAGCGAGCAAGCAAAATTACACTTATGGATACTTGTAATTTCGTCATTAAAATACACTATTGATAAGATATGAAATATTCTATTTTGGGAACATGGCTGATCTTTTACTGCGGTTGCCCGAATGTTGGAGTTCTCGAAATTCGGGGGTGGAGAGTGGTCTTTTTTTTGTGTTTTAGAAAGTATTTATTTTTTCATTCAATGGACCAAATTAACATAATCGAGAAAGAAAAATTCTGTTACATATGAAATAATTAATTTCGATAACATAATAATTATAAACAATACATTAAGATAGCAACAACAATTATATTACAAGTCATAACATCGAATGAAGATGAAAATAAAAATGTACTCGAAGAAAATGAGATTCGATCATAAATGTCCTTCAAGCTGAATCAAAATCAGAAGTCCTCATACACTGTAAAAAAAAAAAATTGTTCATTGGTAATTTTTACGTATTTTTTCCATGTAGAATTTACTTGAAAACATTAGTTTTGCCACTTACGCACTAAATTTAAGTCTTGCTAACTCAAACTTTCAATTTAGTAGAACATACGGGGAATATTGAAGTAAAATCAAATACATAAGAACTTTAAGTAATTTCAGCTTGTATTAATTTAGTAATTTTAACTCAAAATCAGAAATTATACGTATTACTCAAACAGTTTATGTTAATTATTCTTATCTTTTTAAAGTAAGGACCGATGCAGTGCGTAATAGAAATATTTACATAATTTATGAATATTCATTAAGACAAATTAAACTCTTTTTTAAATAAAACGATTCTTTTTTGTGGTTGAATGAAAATTTAAGGGCTTTAAAACATTTACTAATTCATTTAACATGGCTAAGCAAAGACAAGACAATTTTTAATTGTTACCCAGTTCAAAACAAATCAAAACTTGATATTTCAGGAAATTGTCAACCAATTTTCCTTTTAAGATGCTACGATCAATTATATAAAATTTGGAGCCTTTCAATATGTGTCGAATTGAAGCGTATGTAATAGTTTGTAATGGTGGTAGATATATATATATATATATATATACGGTTAAATCTTAAATAGAAGTAGTGAATGATTAGTGGATGTTACTTGTTAGACATGGGTACCAAATCGTGCATTATGTAATCCTATCATAGCTTTTTTTTAATTATCTAAAATGATTACAATACTTAAATTATTTACGTTAATGTAACTCGATTTAACTGAGTAAAAATTTATTAAGCAAAATAAGTAAATTCTACTTAAGATGCCGTAGGTAATATTTACTTAATAAAGATAAGGCAATTCTTTTCCTCAATTTTATTGAGTTATTTCGACTATTATTTTCTTACAGTGTAGGCTCATACCCAAACCGCATCATCCAAGCACTCCTCCATGCCTCTGTCTTAAAATCTATCATTGCCATACGCAAATTTGTGATTTCTTTTGCCTGTTCGGCTTATTTTAACCCCCTCCCCCTTTCGCTTTTATTGTTAAATTATTATTGTTTTTTTCTTTCTGTTGAGTATTTGAAATACATTATAGTAAAATGAGGGGTTGTGTGTCCGGACGCTTGACAAAAATAAAGCTGTTACATGCATTTGCCTTTGGATTTGACGAAATATGCTTCAACAGATCTAAGCATCCTAAATATTCGTCATTTGTAATAATGTCCAATGAAAGTTTTAAAACATTGTTAAAATTTGCATGTAAACTTCTTCAAATTACTGTTTGAAACATAATGATTTTACTCTTTCCCGGGATATTTCCTCATGATAAACATAAAAATAATTGGAGATCGATCTTTCATGTAAACGCGCAACATTTTCACCCTTTGCGCGCGCAAAAAAAATTGACCGCGCAATGCATGATGTCCATGGCTGGCTGTTTGAGTTGTACACGACCTGCATGCCAGCTGGCAATTAAGCACTAGCTGCTTTTCCACAAATCAAGCTCTATCAATAACTTGAACACCCAGGAGAGATGTAACTGAAGCACTGTGTCACACTTTCTTTCAAAATTCTGATATAAGTTTGGCTAACATTCGTCTGGTCGACGAGGTACCATGACGAAGCAAGCCGTCTTGCCATGCCACTTAACCGAGGCGTGTCGACAACGGCTCATCTCCTTCCTCATCATCCAGCTCATCCTCGGTCTCCTCTGCGGCACCGCACTCATCGGCGTCGGATTATACATACGAAGCCACATCCGAGCCAAAGTCAACCTCATCGAGAATTACGACTTCGAACAGCTTCCCATCACTCTCATGGTCGTCGGTGGTCTCACCGTTCTCGTTAACCCAATCGTCGGCAAGATCGGCCACGAGGCGTCTTTCTCGTGGAAGAGGGAGAAGCTCCGAAATGGCTTGCTCACTATGGTGGTAATCCTCAGTATCGTCGATATAGGGTTGCTGATAGCAGGCTCGATGACATTCATCCACCGTCAAACTTTGAGGAAGTCGTTTCACAGCGGGCTCGAAAGCGCCATGAAGAAATACAAGGACGACATAGAGATCAAGGTGGAAATTGATTCGCTCCAACTGGAACTCGGATGCTGTGGAAACGAAAACTTTGAAGATTGGTTTAAAATACAGTGGATTAATGATGACTATCTCGACCAGTCGAACAGACCTGCTCGAGATGCCAAAAAGGAGGAAGATGACGAGGGGTGGGTATCTACAAGCGGGGTGGGACCGGGGGGGGGGGGGGGTTAATAAATTGGTTTTAAATAGATTTTTTTTTTTCAGGGGGGTTATTGTCCGCGAGGGGGGGGGGGGGGGATTATAGTCCTCGGGATACGGGGGGAATTGCACAGGGGGTAATTGTCCTAGAAGGCTACACCTGTATCGCTCCTTTACTATGATAATTACGTGGTGGCCGCCATATAGTTCATCTTAAATTTTAATTCTCATGGTGGCACTTTATAAAGGGTTTTCGTAGGATACAACGGCTCCTCATAATCAATAAACAATGATTATATAATAGTCAGTATATTCAAATGGCTTTAAAAATTATAATCAACACCAGAAAGGGATGCCAAAGCCTGGTAAACGGGGAGAAAAATAATCACAAGTAGGCCTAAGTTTCTCATCAACGCGAAAGGTCGACATAGTTCTTGTTTTTACAAAATTCTTATCATGTAGATTGTGGTTGACTAACTTAATGATAAAATATATTCTGACGAGTTTCACGCATAGATCATTCAATTGCTAAAATTATTGTATTGTTTTGTTCTAATTTTTTCTTTGGCGTTATACTTTTAGGTTCATTGTTGCCTGGGTGCGTTTCCTTTCTCCGTTGGCTATTGCCTTCATCTTTTTCTTTAAATATGAGAATGATTTAACCATGTGTTAATTATTTTACCTTAATTAACTTTACATTATGGGCAATTTGGCGTTAAAGCCTATTCATTAACCTAACCATCTTTTACTCCCTACAGAGAGACATTGAACGAATTCCTGAATAACGACACGCCATTTTCCTGCTGTCACCCACGCTCCATTCGACCCTGTATTCATCACAAGGTGCTCGACAACGATGCCCACTTCCGCTACGACTTCGAGCTAAGTTTTACGATTCACAAGACGGGCTGCAAACATCGGCTCATGGAGTACTTCAACAAGAAGCTTAACATCATCGGCGGGTGTGTTATGGGTCTTTGTGGACTACAGGTACTGTTATGAGACAACGAAATATTCTACAATTATTCTAGTTTCCAAAGCTTATGGAATTCAGCAGTAGAAGCATTATTCTCCCTATCCAAAATTCAAATTCAAATTCAAACTTTATTGATTTCAATCCAAACAGATAGGATCCGTGACCCGTTCCATTGGTAGAAACGGGGGACGCAGCTTGGGGCCGGGGAGAAGGGGGGGGGGGCGATGAAAATGTGAAAAACTTATTATTTCTACATGTACACTGTATATCTTTTGCTTGTTACCTTTTCTAAAATAGAATATTGATATTCTTAAGAGTATAATATTTTTCGTTAAAATCATGGGCGAAAGAGAAGGCTTTTTTGTTATTGAACGCCCGGACACCCGCCCCTCCCATCGTATCATTATGTAAAACACAGTCGTGACGTCAGAATAGTTGTCTACTTCTCTGTGGATATTTGTGGTAATGGGCAATCTGACTTGACTATCCTTTTCGCAACACCTACTGAAGGCTGGTTTTCCTTCAAATCGTATTTTAACAATTTTCGATTTCAATTTTCATTTCTAACTGTTCTCGCTCTCTCTCTCCTCCTCCTTCTCCTCCTCCCCTCCCTGCTCTTCATTTTCCCTCCCCTCCTCCTCCCTCCACCCCCTCCTCATTCCATGTCTATTTGTATCTACTTCTCCAACACAGTTGAGCATCCTGTTGACGGCTCAGTACTTGAATTCATCAATCTGCAATGCTCTAGACCGTGGTAACGCGGAGAGAACGTCCAAGGGCTGGATGTTTGAAGAATTCCCTCTCATCACTATTTTCAAAGCATTTATGTCACTGCTCATGTGAGATAGTGATTTGCTCAACACCCTACTGCCAGCCCCCCCCCCCCATCTCTAGATATAACTCTGTACAACCAACTAAACCTGGATAACACTGATTTATGTGTCTTGATTTATATTATTTATGTACCATTATGCATTTATTTCATGTACACTGTTGGTCACAATGGTGGAATATTTATTTTTACCCCAGTTTAGGGAAGGATTTAAAAAAATTATTTATTTCTAATAGATTTAGATAATGGCATACATTCTCAGATTTTTTTGAATATTAATTTGCGAGTGTATGTTTTGCGTGACTGCTTAATCATATGTGTGCTACTATGCTAATCAGCTAAGGGACCTACGTCCTTAAGTCATAATTGACAGTAATGAGGATTAATGCCTCACAAAAGGGCACTAACATATAGCTGATCGACACGATTTTTATCCTGGGGCCTCACATTAACGAGGCCATTGCTTAGCCCCTGAATCATGACTGTACACAGTGTTTGCTAGGGTACGCGGCCCCTTCCACAAATCCCCCAAAACGAAGAAAATGCAATAAATTGTCAAAAATTCATTGCATTTTCCTCCGGCCCCCAACAGGAAAAATTCCTCTGTAGGGCCATGCATTATGGTCCAAGCCATGGCCTCGTTACTATGAGGCCCCAGGATAAAAATCGTGTCCATCAGCTACATTAGTGCCCTTTTGTGAGGCATTAATCCTCATTACTGTCAATTATGATTTAAGGACGTAGGTTCCCTAGCTGATTAGTATAGTAGCACACATATGATTTAGCAGTCACGCAAAACAAACACTCGCAAATTAATATTCAATAAAATCTGAGAATGTATGCCATTATCTAGATCTATTAGAAATAAATAATTTTTTTAAATCCTTCCCGAAACTGGGGTAAAAATAATTATTCCACCATTATGACCAACAGTGTATATGGTAAAACCGGTCACTCAAAGATTTTTTACTTTTTTGAGGCACTTCTTGATCATTTTGAAGCGCAATTTTTTTAGGGCTTCAATTTTACATCATATCACAGACACTGAAAACACGTAGGCAGATCTAACATTGTTAACGATCCCTTTAAAATGAACGACTCGGATTTGTGCACCCCGCGTCATCTGCTGTCGAATGATGATGAACGAGACTATCAAAAGACTGATTGGAAAAAATATTAAGGGAGGGCAAGGACTAGATATAAGAGAGAAGATAGATGAGGGGGGGGGGGGGGAGATCGAAATGAAGATGAGGAAAAAGTAGAAACATAATTAAAAGAATGTTACTATCCTTATTTTGTAGATATTGAGGTAAAGGCAAGGACGAGAAATAAGAGAGTAGTAAAGATAAATAAATTGTCACTATCAGAATGCGATTTTTTTGTGTAATATTTGTTTTGCAGGGCAAGGGACATGGGCATACTATTTAACCATGTATTTAATTTAATCTTCAGGGCCTCGTCTCATTAAAAAAATCGCAACACTCTATAAGATGATGCCCAGGTTTGTCAGACGGGTTGGGGAGGGGGGGGTTGAAATGAAGATGAGGAAATGGAATAAACAGAATAAGAAAGATGGATTTTAATTTCGTTATTTTTCTTCAAAGTTATGAAACTATCAGCTATAATGCTAAAATAGTGTTTCAAACAACAGCAAATATTCTGACCTCGTGAACGTGTCGTATATATAGCCTTAACCTTCAATGGAGAGGGCACAGGCATCATACGGGCGCCGAAGGCCATTGATTATTTGGAAGGTATGGAGGGTGTTGCAGCATATATCTCCACCTCCCCTTTTCACCCATTCCCTATCTATCTTCTTTTTTCCATTGGATTTGGGGCAAATGTGACCCTGGGATACGCCATCAGGCGCGTACACAGGGGGGGGGGGGGGGTTGGGGGGGTTAACCCCCCCCCCCTTTGATATTTTTTTGTGTGTAAACCCCCCCCCCCATAACCCCCCTAAACCCCCCCCCCCCTTTGGACTTTTTTTTTTTATTAAAAAAAAAAAAAAGTGACCTCTTAACCCCCCCCCCCCGCTTATTCAGCGGCTGGCTGAGTCGTTGCGAAATTTTTGGCCCGATTTATAAATTTTAACCCCCCCCCCCTTGAAAAAATCCTGCGTACACGCCTGTACGCCATGCATTGTTTCGTGAAAAACACACACAACAAAAAACAACATTCCGTTATTAAAGTTTTCCGGTTTGTTAACAAAGCAATTCTAGGCTGCACTTATTTTTGTGGTATATATTGAAATGGATTTTGAAATTTAATTTAAGCAAAATGTAGACCTAAGAAGGTTAAGAAAAAAATATCATCTACACAAGTCATGTTACTGCAAACATATAAGAAAAAAGACCTTTGAATGGGTGTTGGGTGTCTGGACGGGTTGTGTGTATCCGGGCAGTTAATACATACTGTATATTGGGCAATATCGTTAAAAAAAAAATTCATGGTGGTTACTGGTTAGTGCTATTTGATGGATATTTTTCGTTAAAATCGAAGATAAAAGAGAAGGCTGTATGTTTGTTAAGTGTCCGGCCACCTAATCCCCATCATACTGCAAACATAATGACATTCAATTTAACTTACGATAGAGGGTATAAATTCCAGACGAGTCGGCAAAATATGTATCGTTTTGTGTTTGTGACAACATTTTCTTAAATGTTAATAAATCATAGAATACATTGAAAAAAAAGTATTTGTGGGTTATCTTTCTTTATATTTTGCATTTTCCAAACTCATTTCACACTCTCTTATCATTTGAGGAACAACGATTAATTTGGTCTGCTAATTGTAAATATTAGCTAATTCTAGGTCTAAAAATTATTGTTGACATGAACATTTTATTTAATAAAAACAGTCTTCATTTCCATTTGAAAAAGAATTATGAATCAGGCTTTGCCAGCTTTTCTATTTGGCAAGCTTGATTCGTCTTATACATTTTATTTTATACAATAAATCACAGCTCCCTTGATATGATTTGATTTTCTTTTACCGTTTTATTATTTCAAAGATTGATACAGTTTGGACGAACATTGTTTTGATGTAATTCGTTCGTTCGTTCGTTTGTTCGTTTGTTCGTTTGTTCGTTCGTTCGTTCGTTCGTTTGTGGTTCGTTCGTTCGTTTGTGGCCGTGTCTGACACGGCCGGTTGTAGCAACTACTCCGAAGATCAAGATTACAGTAATCTTGATCTAAGGAGACACGAACGAACGAATGTAAAGTTCCTACATTAAAACTTATCAAGAAAATTGAACTTATCAAGATAATCCCGATGGAAGCGCACCTAACGCGCACCTGTAACCAAAGTGCGTATACCACTGCATGGATGCGCTTTCTTGTGCCTTTTCACCACTCGCGCCTTGTAACCATCATGATCAAGAACGTTGTTTTAGCAAATTGACCCTCTTATAATATATGATTATTAACGTAAATTAAACAAAAAACACCTCTAAGAATGTATTCTGCGCGTCATTAGCGGTATGGTTTTGGCAGTCGGCTTGACCGAAGGAGGACGGCAGACCATCGCCATACTCCTCGTCATCTTGCACGTCATTAGTGTCTTTGTTGGGGCAGGTCTCGGCACTGTGGGCTTCTTTCTTCGCTACAGTCTCCAGTCCAAGGTCAGTCTCGTCGATGGATACGATGGCAATGTCCTCCCCATCGTCCTCATGGTTGTCGGCAGCCTCACCGCCGTGGTCAACCTCGTCGGCAGCAAGGTTGCGTTTGTCGTCACCAATCCCGTGAACAGAAAACGACTGCGAACTCTCCTGGTGGTTAACCTCGTGCTTCTCCTTGTCGTTCTCTTGGCCTTGCTGACAGCGGGAAGCATGTGCTTTGCTCACCGACATCATCTTTCAAGGTCGTTCCACCACGGTCTCATCAAGGCGATGGGAAAATACCAAGAAGACTACAAACTGAAATACGACATTGACATGCTTCAGATACAGAATGAATGTTGCGGTAATAATGGCTATGAAGACTGGTTGGATGTCCAGTGGATTAACAACAATTTCTTGGATCTCTCCAACAACAAAATCCAGAGGTAAATTTGATGTATGAAGGAGTGACCAAAGTTCGCGGACATTTTAGAACATATTACAAAATGTGATATTCGATCTATGATTTCTCACATTCTACACAACTTTATTTATTTCAATTATTACCGAATGGACGGCAAAGTTTTTTTTACAACGGATTGGTTCAACTAGAAAAATTTACCGTCGAAGGATTTCGGAGATATCGCGATCTAAAAATTCGATGTCTGATCGTGCGTGCGCGCTGCATCTAAAAAAAGTCATAAAAACAATGAGACCTAACTTCACGCACGGTGGTTTACAGTTGATTTATCAAAAAAATGCGATCCATCAAAAATAAGGTAATATCATAATTTGCAAGGCAAGATATCGTACAATCAGTTAGTACCACTCTTTACTTACAATTTTGAGGATTTCTGATCTCAAAATGAAGATTTCCAGACCCTTATCGGTAAAGTTGATAATTTTTCGGAACGGACGCAAATAACTGCAAAATTTGCCGATCTTTTGTCAATATTTTCACAATTTCGCACCCAATTCTAAAGAAAATTTCGTTTCTGGGTAATTCTATGACCCTCTTTCCATTGGTGATATCAGATTTTCGAAATCTTACCGATTTTTTGAGAAAGCGAATTTTGGTCACGCGCGAACTTTGGTCACAACGCCATAATATAATGGGTTCGTATCCTTTCATTTATCCGGACAGTTCATTTCAAACAGTAATTTGAAGACGTTTACATGCACTCAGGGGCGTCGCCAAAGGGGGGGTGTGGGAGGGTGCGACACCCCCCACCTGTCAGGATATTGTCGGTAAAATTGCGCTGCCGTCGGGAAAAAGAGAAAAGGGGGAGGGAAAAAAAGAGAGGGAAAAAAGAGAGGGAAAAAAAGAGAGGGAAAAAAAGAGAGGGAAAGGGAAAGAAAAGAAAAAAAGAAAAGGAAAAGAAAAGAAAGAAAGGAAAGAAAGGAAAAGAAAGGAAAGAAAAAAGCAGAAAGAAAGAGAAAAAAGAAGAAGAGGGAGGAGAGGAAAGAAAGGAAAAGAAAGAAAAGGAAGAAAAGGAAAAAAGAAGAAAAAAGAGTGAGAGGGAAACAAAAGAAACGGGGGATGAAAAAGAGGAGAGAGAGGGGAGGTAAGAGTCTGAGAGAGGAGGAGTGGGAGTAAAAGAGAAAAGGGGGTTGTTAGGTGGAGTCGTCTCGTCGAGGGAGCAAGAAAGACACAGGTAAATATGTTGTTGTGTCGGGTTAGCTGTGTCGGTATTCTTGCTCGATCCTCGTGTACTATATCAATGCAGAAGTTTGAAGTCGGTGAGATGTATATTGTCGGTCGGCCGACAAGTTTTTTTCCCTACGAACTGTGACTTCTTATCCGCTGTGAAGACTTCGAGAGTGACTACAATACTTGTATTTTCTCGAAGTTTCACTTTCCTATAATATCAGCTAAAGAAATCAGAGGCCTAAAATTTTCGGGGAAACTAAATTCAAACAAGGTTTAAGAGTCAACAACGGTACGACGAATCGTCTTCCTTTCTTTATATTGTGATGAAACGCCAAAAATTCCACGCTTCGCGCGGAAGGGGAAAACTTCATTTAGACGAGTCGAAAACGGTACAACGAATCGTCTTCTTTCTCTAATAATTTAAGGAAACGTCAAAGCTTCCGCGCTTCGCGCGAGAGGGGGGAAACTGAATTCAGACAAAATTAATAGGGCTTATTTAGAGTCGAAAACGGTACAACGAATCGTGTTCTTTCTCTAATAATTTGAGGAAACGTCAAAGCTTTCGCGCTTCGCGCAAGCTGGGGAAACTGAATTCAGATGAATAGGGCTTAATAAGAGTCGAAAACGGTACGATGAATCGTCTTCCTTTCTCTATATTGCGATGAAACGCCAAAAATTCCGCGCTTCGCGCGGAAGGGGAAAACTTCATTTAGACGAGTCGAAAACGGTACAACGAATCGTGTTCTTTCTCTAATAATTTGAGGAAACGTCAAAGCTTTCGCGCTTTGCGCGAGATGGGGAAACTGAATTCAGATGAATAGGGCTTAATAAGAGTCGAAAACGGTACGATGAATCGTCTTCCTTTCTCTATATTGTGATGAAACGCCAAAAATTTGGCGCATATGCAAGTACTATAGATAGTCCATAGGCCCCAGGTTTATAGGGTTGAATTTGTAGATATTGGACATTTAATTTTGTCGGTAATTGGTGGCTGGTTTTGTCGGTAATCGTTGGCCTCTACACCCCCCCACTGAAAAAGGTCTAGCGACGCCCCTGCATGCACTATGTCATAACTCTTTTCAGATTTAATATGTCGGACAATATTATAAAGGACAAATACCTACACTTATGATGGTCAGTGTAATTTGATAAAAAGTTTTGTTAAATGCTAAGGCAACAATGACAACTCAATTTGATCGACAGTTACCCGCCCTCCCCTCACATTCTTAACAAGTATGGTTGTGTGGCCATAGTTCGCGCGTGACCTAAGTTCGCCTACTCAACAAATTGGTAAGATTTAGAAAATCTGTTATCACCAATGGAAAGAGGAAAATAAAAATACCCAGAGACGGAATTTTCTCTGAAATAATCACTGCCTACTAAATGTAATACTAATGGACAACTCATTGACTGGTTTGTTCACTTAGTTTTATTTAAAGTATATAAGGGAGAGCAATATATGTAGTAAGTCGACAATATAAAATTTAATGCTACACTTAATAACTATCTAGATCTCAATAACACAAAGCTTAGTAATAGGTCGTATGGCCAATTAATAAGCTTTTTGTTAAGGGTCGAAGATATCATAACATTAAATTCACCACTAATAATTATTGTTTGCAGTAAGATGACAACTGGCAAATATTTGACCGATGATGTCCCCTTCTCGTGCTGTCGACCGACATCGCCACGCCCATGTATCCACCACCAAGTCCAGGACAATGACATCCACTACAACTACGACTACCGCACCGACCTAACCCTTCATACCATAGGATGTAAGAAGAAGCTCATGGAGTACTTCGGCTCGCAATTCACCAAGCTCGGCGCAGCGGCGTTCGGCTTGTTGGGAGTACAGGTAAGTACCGATAATGTACATGCATTTGAAGAAAAACAAATTTTATCAGAGAAGAATTCAGTGCGAGCTGGTTGGCGGTTCTTGGGAAGGAATGGGAAAAGATGTTGCAGTAGGTCGGAAAGGGCAAGGAGGGTTGTGCCCAGATACTTAACGAAACGTAAACATGTCATTGCTGCAAATGAATTTTGTGTAAAATATTTACCAAGTATAGCACTTACTCAATAATATCTACCATCTGATTATTACCAACAAACTTTTTTTTTAAATCATGAAATAGTCCTCGAAAACTTTTTCAATTTACTCTTTGAAAGAACCAATGTGGGTAACCAGCCTGTCCAGACACACCACAGGACTTGTTATAAGTCGATTCATGAGAAGATGGAAATATGACACCCCATCGCAAATTTCCCTCAGAATCCTCCAAATAGGAAGTATAAAACTTCAAGTTGTAGGTACATTAAAACAAGACTAAAGGAAAGATGAATCTCGGAGTGTCGATAGGGGGATGTAAACATTAAAATCGTCATTCGGAAGAAAATGAAAGAGGCATCAGTGTCTTTAAGTAGCAGGGGAGGGGCATAATGCATCTTATTTTTTTAAAAGACATTTCCCTGGATGACAATTATTATATCACATTAAATCATAATATGCGTTTACATGAGAACAAAACCGCTTCAATAGTTTACAATGGTTTAAACACTAAGGATGCACCATGTTGATGATGCTTCTACAAAATTGTGTATTCTGCTGCTGAAAGAATGATGAACAACTGATATTCCCTCTTCTCCTATCCAGGTAATAGCTCTTCTGCTTGCCCGATACCTGCAGACCTCGATAGTTGGTGCCATAGCTGAAGGAGACCCGGAGGCTTCCGCACCCGGTTCCCTCTGTCCTGGAGGAGACGGACCTTCCCCTTCAAAAGGAGACAGGGACGGTGGCACCAAACTTAAAATAGGTGGTGGAATGGTTGGGGATGTGCCCTTTGGAAAAGGCAGAAGTGGCCCTAGTGGGTCCATGGACGATTTCGAGGACCATGATTTGGATGCCGAAGAAGGGTATGATACCTTGCTGGATGATTCGACGTTTGATGAGGATTTTGATGAGCCTGTCAACGCGAATACCTCTATTCCGACGAAAGGCTACAATCCCTACGAGAACGATGATCGGTATGGGAGTGAGCTAGTCTACAAAGACGTGAAACAGTACGAAAGCGAGTCGCCCTACGAGGAGCCGATTCGCCATGAGGAAGAGCCTCTGTATGAGAATATCCCAGCATATCCACCCGCATCAATGGAAGATCTTTATGAAACTATTCCAGCGTATGCACCTCCAGCAATAGAAGACCTTTATGAAAATATTGCAGCATATGCAGCGCCAGTAATGGAAAACCTTTATGAAAATATCCCAGCGTATGCACATGGGATTATGGAGGATCTTTACCAAGAAGCTACCGATGCGCCGTTGCCGCCCATGCTCCCTAGTGGTCCTCCACCGCAGAAGCCCAAAGGAGCTCCTCCACCGCAGAAGCCCAAAGGAGCTCCTCCACCGCAGAAGCCCAAAGGTGCTCCTCCACCGCGCCCAACAACAAGTCCACCGAAAAAACCAGGCGGACCGCCGCCCAGTAAAACGAGTACTCCGAAGAAAAAACCACCTCCAAGGCCAAGTCAACCGCCATCTCGGCCATCTCCTGGTGGGAAAGCGAAGTCCGGCAAAAATGGTCCTCCCAGACCTGACAAACCTCCATCAAAGAAAAGCGGAGGAAGTCAACCCAAGACTAGCACACCTAAAAAGTCAGCGCCGAAACAGAGCCCCAAGGCCGATAAGAAAAATGCAAAATCCTCCCCCAAACGAAGCGGCAGTGCCAGTCCGAGCAAGTCAGGCGGTGTGAAGAAAACAAGTGCTAAGACAAAGTCAGCAAAACCTGCATCGACGACAAAATCTCCAAAGTCCAAGACAAGTTCTAAATCCAAATCTGCGAAGCGAAGTCCAAGTAAGAGTCCAAAGAGGAGCCCGACGAAAAGCCCCAAATCAACTCCAAAAACCAAAAGCGCCCCCAAATGGAAGAAGGGCCCTCCACCGAAGGGTGGGAAGGTCAAATCACGTGGTGGAAAGGGAGGCGCCAAACGAGGAGGTGCCAAAAGAGGAGGTGCCAAAAGAGGAGGTGCCAAGAAGCCCAAGAAACGGTCTAAGAATAGAAACAACAACATTATTGGATTAAGTGAGAGCGAGAGGGAGTCCTCGAATAGCAGCAGTCTAGACAACGAAGAGACCGACTCGTCATCATTGTCATCATCATTGGATAGCAGCTCATTGGATCTGGAGGCTGGGTCAATTTCGGGAGAGTCCGAAGAATGGGATGTATCATCAGATACACCGCTATTAAGATGATGAACTTAACCATTATGGTTATCGTTTACTTTACTCATGTTGCTCATTCCTTGTAAACAAGTCATCCACAAAATCAAAATGGCGACAAGTGAAAGGAAACGTCTCATATACGTTTACCCCATCGCTCTCCGATGTGTAAAGACTAAAGAGAAGGGGAAGAAGGAAGATCAGGGGAGGTGTGGTTCAAGTTTGAATGGGGGTAAGAGATGTCGGATCATTGTGGTCAAGATTTCTGAAGGGGAGGGGGGGGGAAGCAAAATTTGCAGTCAAGACTCCCACTTCCTCATCCCTAAATGAAATGTTTTTAATACTCGAATGCTTGACTACATCAGTGTTCCATCAGAGCTTTGAGTTGGAACGTGGGATGATTATTTCTATCCTTAAAATTTCCTCCTGTTAACTAAATGCTTGCATTATTTATTGCTCATGATAATTACTCTATTATCTTTATATTTTATACATGTTTTATTGTTTTAGTTGGTAAGCGAAGCATAGCCGGCCTCTCTAGCTGCATGCACTCTTTGCATGTCTTGTTCCCTTTCTCTAGTTCTCGAAAATAGATATTCTCTCCAAATGCGGAGGGTAGATCGATAATGGTCGTACCGTGATCTGAATAACTTATGGTCATCAGCTGGCAAGCAAGCGAAATATTTCGAGATAAGTATCGAGTGTTACAGATACGCACGGACTCTCACAAGGGTCCTCAGCTCGGTGATTATGCGCCATCACCGGCAGCCAGATTGAAGTGTTTTGAAGCGGAGTGCGTGGGATCTCGATCGGCAATATGACGTCATTATTACGTCCCTCGCACAAAGATTGCGAGTATAAACGCATATTCATATCAAGTGAATGTCATCATATTTTAATCACACATTTTCATGCCAAAGTTCCCCTGGTATATTTGATATAGTTCAATTTTGTCGTAGTATAATTATAGATGTTATTAATACTTCGGTTATGTTGGTGTGGTCTATTGAGCATTAAAAAAAATAAATGTATCAATGGTAAAATAACTAACTAGCAACATCTTTTTTTCTTCCTTTCTTCATAGATTGCAATCGTTTCTTTAATAATCAATTTTAGAGAGGTTTTATTTGACACTTTATCAATGTGAGCCTATCATTTCTGTTCAAATTGTTGGCCTTTTCAATAATTATTGCTACATCATCAATATGTAAAGGCTGCCATGGCTGCGCGAGTACAAGACTTGTAAGTTTTTATTTTTATTTTCCGTTTCCATGAAAAATTAATTCAATTCTAAAAGTGTACATATTTATTGGTTTTAAAGTATGTTTTGTGCAGTATCTTATCTTGCATAATGGTGGACCCGGCGCACCCCAGCCCCTGTATTAAATGTCAATAAACAGATAATTATGAAATTTGCACATTATTATGCGTATTCTATTATACCTCCCCTATCATCTGAATATGGTTCCTACAGTTATATAAGTGACACAATTTTATATTAATTTAAAGTGAACGATAGGCCTATGCAAAGGCATTTATAGACTACAGTGTATTTTGATTCACATTATATTTTCTTATTTTCTCAGTATGTTTACTTGTCTATAGACACATACATGTAAAATAAAGAGCATGGTCCCAGTCCTAAAATGCATTAACATTTCAAAATGTTCCAGTGCACAATATTTGCATTTTGTCTATGAGTCGTTTACAGGTCAGATCACACATCTTAAATTGCAGCGTGCTTCTTGTGAACACCGTTGACCAGCTAACTACATGCTGGCCATCCACATCTCTGTTAAATGCCTGAACCTAATGGGTGTCCCATGATCATTACAATCATTCCAACCTTGACCTGATACATTTGTCTTGATCATACTAGGTAAAGATCCTTTAAAGTAGATCACTTTAGACCGAGGAGACTGGATACCGGGTTTCAAATTTCGTCACGGTGTCTCAAATCTCCGCTATCCGCATGGAAATCCTATTTTAATTCAAAAGAACCTTCGTTTTCTTCTGGAGAGTTGAGAGGAGATTGGCAATACATTAGAAGTGACACATTCTATTTTCAGACGGAGTGGAAAGTGAACAACTTACTTAAAGAACTAAGAATAAGAAGGAACAAATTATTTGTTTAATACAATAAATAACTTTATCCCGAAAAACAACAAATAATAACATCTCTTTAAAGAACAAATTTAAAACTGCTCTAAAAAAGAATTTTAAACAAAAATGTCTTTGCAAATTCACAGTAGGACGAGGTTTTAACGGTAATGTGATGAATATAATGAGAAAAAACATTTTAATAAATTTTCATTAGATTCGTCATAGAATTCATTCGAGAGGGTATCGCATGAAAATTGGTATTTCATAAATAACCTCGTGTAACCTATCGCTGATATGAAAAAGCCTACTTTCAACAAAATAGTATTATATTAAGGCCACAAATTTTTCATACAGTTAATTTAATAGTACAAATAAAGGCAAGTGTGGAGATAAGGGAGGAAAAAGAAATGTGCAAGTGAATATCTTGAAAATGATCGCAGCATGATATCCCTAGCTCACTGGCGCCACGGCTATTATAGTGAATCTAAAGAAGATAGCAAACTGTCACGCGAACAGCAAGAACCTGCGAGAGGGATGATGCTGATCAAAGGCTCAAATGGCGAAGGCGAAGCTACGGTGGGTCTGAGGAGAACGTGTCCTTAATCGAACGGTAAGAGATCTATCGGGAGAGGGGTGGGGATGAGAAAGGGGCGGTAGAAGACAATGCGAAAGTAGATGACTCCACCCCTTCCCCCGCCCCTCGCTAACGTCATTCACTGGCCTTTCTCTTCCGATTATCATCCACTTTTTAAGACCAGTGCCGCCCCCATTACACCAGTGCCCCCTTTATGAGTTACACAGGCTACGCCCCTACAAGGCTAATACGTAGATTTGACTCTGCATGAAATACATTCCACCTCAAACCAGGGACTTCCCACTTCTGTCTTCATGAAAAATGATTGACTTCAAACGGATTTTTATTGAATGAAGGACATTGATTAAGAACACTTCAATCCTAATGTCGTTCATTCATGCTTTTGAAGGAGGGGTGGATCCAGGATGGTCTGAAATAGAGGAGGGGGGGGGGTGCTCTACTTTAATTTTTAAGAGGAAAATTTCTCTCTCTCTCTCTCTCTCTACTCTTTTTTCCTCTTTCTCTCTCTCTCTCTCTCTCTCTCTCTTTCTCTCTTTCTCTCTCCCCCCTCTCTCTCTCCCTCCACTCTCCCTCTCTCTCCCTATATCTCTATAGATTGTAGCGGCCCATAAGTCTTTCCCCCTCTTGAATCCGCCCTACGGTTGAAGTACATTAATTTGCGAAAACACTCCTTCCCCTTCCCCTTCCTCTCATGAATATATCACACAATTTATTTCCTTTTTTGTCTATTGTACCTCGCTGCACAGGAGACATAATTCGTAAATTCATGCTAACAGCTGTAAAGCTGTATGGGACCGGTAGGCTGAAGTCGCTGATTAGGTTAAAGCATGAAAATACAGTGTACAAACTGGTAGGGTCAATGGTTTACATTGAATGTATCTTACTATATTTGACTGCCATTGTTGCAGAAATGAACACAATTGAAATCTTAGTTATTTAAAAGTAAATAGAAAATACTTAATTAATCAACCCCCGAAGAAATATACAAACTGGTAGGGTCCATAACAAAACAAAACCAAAATTTCAATTATGATAGACTGCCTGTGTTGCAAGCATAATATCTAAATTACGAGGCGTATGAAAACAAGAAAGACTTTATCAATGGAGAACAAAGCATGATGAAAATCCAAAGATTTCTAAAAGACGACAGAAGCTTCGCTATTGCCCATTAACCTAAAGTGTGTCGCCAACCGAGTTGCGCTTTTGCATAAATTATCAACACTTAATTCACTTTAAAACTACCCAAAGAAACAAAGGGCTATAATCAACCCATTCTGCAAAATTACAAAATGTATTGATCGTGCATATCATCAGGCCTATTATGTAGTTCATACGTAACGTATATTGTATATTTACGAGCTACAAATTGTGCTATAAATCAAACCTTTATCTTCGTGTCTGATTTTTGCGAGTAATGGTCATCCATAACCAATCTCCCTTCTCCCTCTTTCTCCATACCCCTTCCCTCCAGCTCATTACATGTAATCTAGTTTAATCAACTTATAACGCCTTGACTGAATGTAGGTTAATTAAGGAAAGGTAATCGGTTGGAATTCATTGGTTGACATTGGGGATGCATCTGTTTTATAATAGACTAGAAGTTCGTTGCACTCCTGTCTAATATGGAGGTGAGGTCGATACACGTATTTATGATACGATGTGCGGGCGAAAGCTGAAGTGGGAAAACCCCTGCTTGCTTTCTTAGGATACTTATGAAATGAATTCCAGAAACTCGTTTCGTGCATGGTGATACGTGGTTCACAAGGATTAACATGATGATAAGCACTTATGTTATTATAAAGTCTGAACATATTTTTTCCTCCAAGGGGGTGGGGAACTGTACATAATATATACCTGGAAGGCTGGAACAAGACCAGTGACAGCTTAGGCCCGCCAACCGAATCTTACAAATGAATGAAATTAACTGATCTAATTTTGCAAGGGGGAATCATCGAACAATGGTTGTCCATATTTTGTATGAAATTATCCACGAAACCGCCACGGGATTAATCTTAATTGCACTATTATTTTAAACACTAGAAGAAGTGGATTGAATGTGAAACTATGTTCGCATTCTTTAAGATTTAAAACACTTTCAATATAAACATAATTATACAGGTAATATAATGATCTTGACAAGCAAACGTTCCGTCAAGCTAGCATGCGACGATTCATGGTTTCTTCAACCTACGTCATCGGCCGCTTTCATCATCCGATTCGTCTTCTATCTCATCGTCGTCGTAACCTGGGACATACGGCCGTCTGTGACGTCATACATCCTTCCCGTCAGAACCTTGTATTCATGACTGTCATAAAAGCCGCATAGAAACGCCTTGAAATGTGAAGCTTTACAGCACTGCTCAGTTAGACGGGGAGGGTTCAGTAGGTTAAGGATGAAATCCAAACGAAAATTAAATTGATTTCTCTTCTTCAGCCCTGGGGGGAGAGAGAGAGAGAGAGAGAGAGAGAGAGAGAGAGAAAGAGAGAGAGAGAGAATTTAATGTCTGAAATAGGTATTAATTAGCTCTCCCTCCCTTCTTTTCTCCGCCCCCTCTCTCCCTCTCTCTCTCTCTCTCTCTCTCTCTCTCTCTCCCTCTCTCCCTCTCATCTCTCTCTC